TCACCAGCTTCCCCCGGTTCTGGAGTACCGACAACCTTTGGGAATGGCTTGAACCCCTTCTCCTGCAGCTCTTGAATGAGAACAGCTTTCTTCTTCTTTGAGATCACCAGTTCTCCATCTATAATCATCTGAACAAAGCGGGCTTGGTTGCTTAACTTGTCAAGCTGGGTTTGAAGTTCCGACAGGAGATATTGCTATAACTACCGTTAGAGACATAGAGGCAATAATTGTGAGACAGATATGTATGCTCCGTACCTTTCGTTTCTCATACAGTTTGATACGGACGGCATAAAAGGCCCGCAAAATGTCCTCTGGAGTTTCGTAGCGTGTAATACGACCTTCAGCGTCAAAAGCAACCATGTTCGAAGTTGCTATTTGTTTAACAAGCTTGAACTTTTCCTCAAGGCCTTCCTCAAGGGCCTTCTTCATGTGTTTTTCTTCCATCTGAATGATGAAATGAACATTGGTGTGGGTGTTGTAGTCCTTGTAATCTTTAATAAATGAAGGGACCTTTTCAGCCTTGATGATTTCCTCAAGCTTGTCCTTGAAATCTTGGGTCCAGGTACGGATAGGCAATTCGGTGATTTCTACTTCGTTGTCTGCAGTTTGTTTGATGATCCCACTGAACTTGTAACGATCTCCAGACCCAGAAACTTCACCTTTAAAACCGCGGAACCATGGCTTCATTGGAACAAGCTCCTCACCTACCATCAGCCGCTTGAGGTTGTCAACTACTTCTTCTGGGTTATAATTTGGGATTGAGGTGCTCCAGCCTGTTCCAATACCATCAGCGCCGTTGATGAGAATGAGTGGAACAACAGGCACGTAAGTTTCAGGCTCAATCACTTTTCCATCGTCAACGTTGTTCACCAATAACGGCTCATCAGCTTGATGGAATAATCGTCTCGCAAACGGCGAGAGACGTGTGTAAATATAACGAGCACTGGCACTGTCAGAACCACCTTGGAGACGACTTCCAAAGTTACCGCTAGGTTCCAAGCAATTGATGTTGTTTGACCCGACGAAGGTTTGAGCCAGACCAACAATAGTGGTATGCAAAGAGTTATCACCATGTTGATAAGCCGTCATACCGGAGACATAACCAGCAAGTTCGACAACCTTAATGTCCTTTCTGACATTGCGTTTGAACATAGTGTACAAAACCTTCCGCTGGCCGGGTTTCAAGCCATCTACCACTGAGGGAATGGATCGAATGTTATCAGCCATACTAAAAAGAATAAGCTCTTTGTTGATGAAATCAGTATAAGTGATTTGGTCCGTGGAATGGTCAAGGTATGTTCCTGGCTTGAACTGACGAAGCCACTCCTTTCGTTCGTCCGCTTTCTTCTTAGAAAAAGCAAGCTCGATGAGCTCTGCCTCCTTATCCTGCAGTGTGTGAAACTGTTTCAGGTGCCTGTCCAAATCTTGGAAGTAAATTTGGGCGTCCTCTGTCGAACTAGTACCCAAACCTTTGTAGTACTTCTTTTGCCACTTCTTATCATGCGCATGAGCTTCCTTCCACTCCTCATATTCTGGAATGGTGAAGAAAGATTTGGAGTGAGTTGGATTTTTAGGATCTCCCTTCCAAACTTTAACAATAGGCGTGATGAATTCGATCAGGAAGCCGGGTATTTTCAAGAGAGTTGGGAATGCAACCTGAAGATAATTGATGAGCAAGCCCTTGATATGACTACCGTCATGATCCTGATCAGTCATAATCATCAAATGGCCGTACCGGAGACCACGAGTATCAGTATATTCCTTTTTATGCTGTAAGCCAATGAAGTTTTTGATGTTCTGGATTTCAGCATTCTTCGAGATTTGGTCTACGGAGGCATCTCGAACGTTGAGAAGTTTTCCTCGAAGTGGAAAGACTCCAAAAAGGTCAGGTCCCACAACTGCTCGGCCGGCCATAGCCAAGCCCTTAGCGGAATCACCTTCAGTTAGGATGAGAGTACAGTGGTGTCCATCTTTAGTGCCGGCCTTATTTGCATCTGTAAGCTTCGGGTTATTCATACGGGAACGGCGGTTTCCGTCCGTTTTCTTCAAAATTTGATCAGCTTTCTTTTCTGCAAAGTGGAGGATATCGTCCATGACACGGGTCTTCATGACCTTCTTCAAAAAGTCATCAGAAACAACACATTTGCTTCCGAATTGGCTTGGTCTGGTAGTCAATTGCTCTTTAGTTTGAGAAGTAAAGGCTGGATTGACAATCTGGGAATTGACGAAGAGGAAGATGTGGTTCTTGATCTGGGCAGCCTTAAGAGTTGCCCCGGTCTTGTTTTTCTTTTTCAGAGCGTCGGCAAGCTTGTTGCAGATTTGGTCACTGATGTAATTGACGTGCGTTCCACCAGATGTTGTTGCGATGGAATTGACAAAAGAAACCTGTTGAAAAGAGCCATCCGATACGGTGAATCCAATTTCCCAGCGCCGGTCCGGGCTTTCTGTAATTATATCATTTTTGTCAGAAGCCGAAGTCGGATCCTCTCCTCGCTCAGCCTTGATTGCTTTGGTGTACATTTCCATGTATTTTTTGAAAGACTTGATGGGGATCCTTGTGCCGTTTAATTTCACTGCTGTCCCGCAGGTGCCAGCCATGTCGTAGACCCTTCTTTTAACCAAGGCCTCGAAATCATCATCCATTCCGTCCATGCCGAACTTTGCAAAATCAGGTTTGAATGTAACCTTGGTATAGTCGTCACCTTTGCATTCAGTAATCTTGGCCTTTCCCATAGTTGACATATTGTTCGTCCATGTGAGTTTGAATTTCTTTTTCTGCTTAGAGTCAGCCGTTTCGACCGTGAATTCATTACTAAAAATATTACAGAGTTTTGCTCCGTAACCGTTTCGTCCGCCGGTGACTTTCTCTTGCATATCGTTGTAGTTCGATGAAGTCAACAAATGACCGAAAATAAGTTCAGGAATGTAGGTTTGCTCTTTCTACAAAATACTTAGCATTGCACTTCTAAAATATGTACTATAATCAAGGAGGGGAAAGTACATACCTTGTGTATCTCTACTGGAATACCACGACCGTTATTCCAGACGCTAATTTCACCAGCTTCCTTATCCAAGGTAACCCTGATCTCACTCATGTTTGGGTCATTTTGTTTGTTGTCCGCCGCGTTAACGAGGATTTCATCGAAGATTTTGTATAGACCAGGAACGAAAGAGACCTCTCTATACTCCATCAACTCTGTTGTTGAGTTATAAACCCACATGTGCTTCTCCGTTCGTTCAACAGAGCCGATATACGTGTCTGGGCGTTTGAGGATATGTTCTAATTGGGTGATCTAAACCGGCATTTAGTGACAAGAGGGTGTAGGATGGTTATATGATAGGGCTTACCTTCTGGTACTTCTCGGATGACCCACCTCCCTCTACCGTTTCCGTGGCGAAAGACCCATTCTCCACATTAGCAAGAGGTTTTGAGGCAGCCTTCTTGGGAGCAGCTTTCTGCTTCTTAGACGCGTTAGGGGGAGTGCTGTCAAGAGCGTCTGCATCATCGGAGTCCGCATCCTCCGCTACTGAGTCCAGCTCATCTTCGGGATCAGGTCGGGCAGTTTTCTTAGATGATGTGGCTTTTGATGTCGTCTTGGGTTTGAGAGTAGTTTGGGTTAGTTTTTTGGGGGCACCCTTTGCTTTGGGGGCGGCAGCGGCTTTCTTTGGGGCCGCCTTTGCCTTTGGTTTCTATCATGGACACCGTCAGCACTTGTAGCCAGCAAACAACAAACAAATTGAACACTTACCGGGGCAAAGTCGGAGCTGAAGCCGTCGCTCTCAAAATCGCTTTCACTCGCCATCGCGCCGGGTATTGTCTCAGCAGTGTCTTCAAGGGGCGTTCAGGGGGGGGATTGAGTAGCCGTGTCAAGCGTTCAGAACAGAGTAGGTCTGGCTATTGACCTCAGGCTCATTCGCTCTGCATGTCGCTCCAGGTAATAAACGAGTGGCAGATATCGCAGATGTCGAGAAACTCGACCGTGGTTGTCCTTTTGTTGTCTTTTATGGTTTTCTGCTTCGCGGCGGCAGTTAGGTAAGGTTGGCGGCCCTTCCAATAAAATTTGAGCGGATGAACATCGGACCGACAAATGCTTACCCGAATAGGAAATATATAAACACTTGGGCGCCTCTATCGATAAACAACTGCGTTTTCTCGCTCTTTTACAGCTGGAAACTCATGGACGGCGGTAAAACAGCAGCAGATTCACGCTCAGCAATTGCGGCATCCACCTCGAGCGACACCGCTTGCGGCATTGTTATAGGTTGTTAACTGTTGACTTCTTTTGCGCGGCATCATAAATCTTCACATCCAGATGGCCCTGGGCCGGGCCGCTGGGTGACGGATTAACTATTATCCGCATGACTAAGCAAGTCGCGTTGTTTTGATCCAACTTTCCCTTTTCGGAGGTGGAAAAACACATCGAAACATCCAACCAAAGATCCAACTTCGACTTCGACTTCGACTTCAACTTCTAAAGACAACGTCGACAGACAGACGGACAGCCGGCTTGGACACTTCACATAGCGCACCTCAAGTTCCAGTCAGCCTCATGGAGTGTTTCATACCTCGACGCAGCTGAGATTCCGTGTTCTCTACACTTTCCGCCACCAAGAGCGGTTTGTTTACCCTCGTTTGCCTCGTTTGACCTCGATTAACAACGACTCGTTATCGGCCCATACCAGCTATTCCAACCACCACACCACAGATCAGCTATGGCGAGTGCTATAGCAAGGGCGCGTAAGCCCGTTGGTTCGAAGGAATGGATTGCCGAAGAAAAAGAGAACTGCAGGCAATTAGTGCAACAGGAACTGGACGAAGTCGAGTTCCCAGTGCGACATGAGATGGACTGGCTTAACGAGCATATGGCGGAGATATTCACCCGTGATCAGTTGTATTGCCTATTCTCATGCCCATCTTTCACATATCTTCCTAGATCTTGCTTCCCCGTCTAACCAGTTAAAGCAGCAGCGTTACCGAGCTATTCAAGACCCCTGGCAAAATGCGCGGCAAGACTCCTCGAACAGCAAGAAAGATTCTCAAGACACCGCGAGAAGCGCGAGTAGTAAGTTACTCTGGATATATCGCATACCTACATATCTCCAGCGATATTGTTACTGTGAAGCAGCGCGCATTATTTCTAACATTGTCGTAGCCTTTGAGTGATATATTCTCCTCCGGACACAATGCTCGGCACAGCTCCGGACCTACTAATCGATTTACAAACGAGATCGCGAAGCTTTTGACTAGCAACGAGAAGCTGCGATCGCCTCTTCCCAGCACACAGAATTCGAACCCGAATTACAATACCGACTCCGGCTACCATGGAATGCCGGATTCCCTCCCAACAGACACCAACGAACCAGATCATCAAATGGAGGTAGAAACAGCTACCCAAGTCATCGAGGACTCGACAATACTGCCCGTCGATGAAGGCCCTAAGAGCCCTGCCAATGTTCGTCGTATTACCGAAGACTCGTTTCACTCCGCGAGAGAAGTTGCACCAAGCAAGGAAAACACGGTGGAGCCAATGGAGTTTGAATATTCTCGCTATATCCCAAAGAACACAGCTTTGCCAAAGCAACATCCTCTCAGCACCTCTCCTCGCCAAGAGAAACAGAACGAGAGCCAGAATCGCCCTCAGCCCTTGGCCTCGCCCCATCAACCAGAAGCTAAGGAGGATCTGGACGATCCTAATTTCGATGATATAGGCTCACCTTCAGATGGTCCTACTCCGGTTCGAGCACCAATTCGAAAAAGTAGTCTTACATTTGCATCCCTACCGGCAAGAGAGCCACTCACTACAAAGCGCAGCATGGGGGGACGAATGTCCAGGACTAGTCATATTGATCCCCCGAAGATGAACATGAGCATAGTTGGCCAACCCGGCTACCTTGGGAGGCAGACTGGTGGAAACCGATTGACACAAATGCTCTTGGATAATGAGAAAAACAACAAGCCTCTGGAATCTAATGACAAGGCCGGAACTGATGATTCGGCTGACAATGACCATGATTCTGATGCAGAAAATAAAGCCCCAAAACGATTGAACAAGTCGTCAACACAGCTTTTACACGAGAAAATCAATATGCTAGGGAAGACTCAGGCCCCTCGTACCACCAAATCTATTGCTCCCGCTCCATCGCTAGGTACACAGCAGCTCAGCTATCCAGACCTTCCACCGCCTACTGCTGCCTCTTCAAATGATAATACACAGAATGCCTCTATTTCTAGGCCCTCGTCCGCCATGGAAGCTGCTCACGGCTCCCCTCAGAGATTACCACCGACACCAAACCATTTTACTTTTCCCGCTGATAAGTTCCAACCTGAGGCCCAAATTTATAGGGACACTCCTAGTCCTGCTTCAAGAGCGCCTTCAGCTCATCCCGTTTCACCTGAAAGGCGCTCGCCGGGCCCAAAACCATTCCGGCCTGGAGGCTTTTTCCACAGCAAATCTTCTTCTGTTCCTTCGTTTCCTATCTCCCCACGGCCTGGCACGGCTGGCTCCGCCCAGAAAGCACCATCTGTTGCGGATACACCTGGCGAGTCCACTACACCGGCTGGTTCCCCTAAACGCTTCGATGGCCCATTAAGTGCATCTAAATCAAAGCTTCAATCCTTAATGAAAAGCGCCAGAGGACTTTTTGGCAGTAGCGCGAGCGTTTCCGCTACCGCCAAGTTGGAGACTCTTTCACCTACTTGGCAGCGCACCCAGGCTAGTACACAGAACCAGCCTCAAGCAACAGCTACTGACCCACCAAGTCCAGCTAAAGCTCCTCGAACCCGTGGCTCCATCGAAAGGGAGCATAGACGCAAAGAACAAGAGCTAAAAGATCGCAAACAGATGGAAGAGCAGGAACGAGTTAGGGAACGTGAGAAGCTACACCCAGAACCCACCAAGCCTGCAAATATACCCTCCAAACCTCAAATCCTAGATAAAGTGGAGGTACCACAACATTCCTCAGAAAACCTCCCTGCTCGAAGGGTAGAGCCAGTGCCCAAGGCAGAACCTGCACGTCGTGAGCTTGAGCCCAGTACAGAAGAAGGACGAGGAGCAAACACTCATGCCGCATCACAATCCCACCCGTTGCCCAATGAAGGTCGTAGGCCTGCAAAAGCCATTAGAGAAATGCGAAAGCCGAAACCACAGCCTGTCAACATACGTGTAGGAACTCTATCTTCACAGCGAATAAGGGCAGAATCGGCAACCCCGGCACCCCCTTCAGCCCGTGAACCGACTGTCCAGCAAACGTCGGTTTCCAAAAAGGCTAGCAATGCCTCTCTTCTCACCACGGCATCTTCCAGTGGTAGCCTGAAGAGCTCTGCGTCTTCTGCGTCGTCGAAATCAAAAGCTCTTCTAGCTGTGGAAAGAAAGAAGGAGCAGGTAAATGCTTCTAATACCATATTATTTTTTATCTCATCTGATACTTACTTATCTGAACAGGAACAGCGAGAAGCCCAACGCAAGCTGGACCAGCGCCGTGAAGTCGATCGTAAGAGACTTGCGCAGCAAGAGGAAGCCAGCCGACAGCTACAGCAAGATAAAATCCGCCACGAGCGAGAGCAATCTGTTACTGACGATCCAAAGACGCTTGCAAAGAAACAAGCGATTGAGAAGAGGCGACTCGAGAATGCCAAAAGATTGGAGCAACAGCGTGGTCGACAACAGACTCCGTCAAATGATACCGTATGTGTGATTATCAGCCCACTACCCATGTGTTTTTTGATGCCGCACTAACTCTGCAGTAGAGCTCTGTTATACACAGCGAACGTTCAATTCTCAGCGAGTCCCAAGGACCAGCACGACCTGGCTCAAGGTTAGGCAGTGTTCAGCCTCCGAGCCGACCACATAATTACCCACCACCAAACCCTGCAAAGCCTCCCAAGCGTGCACATGAGGAGCAAAACACCGTCCGACCCCCTGCTACAAAAGCCGGCAGTGTTCATCAACTTGACGGCAAGCGGAGGAAGACTGAAGAAGAGATTGTTGCTCCTGAACCCACCGCGGTTCGACCAGCTATGGCTCCTCCTATTCGTCAGTCCAACGCGTCAAAACTTAATAACTTCCCCAGTGTCTCCAAGTACGCAGCCGCTCCTCCTGTGAACTCGATGCAAGGCTGCCCCCCAATATTTAAGAACCCTGCCGGCGCACAAAAACCCTTCCAAACCCTTCCCCATCAAACCCAAGGTAATCGGCCGGCCCATCCCTTGGAGATGGCGAAATATGCCAACGGAAGGATTCCCTTTGCAGAACCTAATAATGTTCCGCCCCAGCCGACTTCCGCTCATCTCAAAACGCCTGGTCAAAACAAACATGTCATACCTAAATCTTCTCCAGCCTATCCAAACGGCGAAAACATTAAACTTCCTGATATTCCTACTGACAGTGAAGACGAAGACTCCGATGCTGAGCCATGTCATGTCCCAGACTGGGCCAAGGAAGAGAACCTCCATAACATTCTTGTTCAACAAGAAAGCCAGGATGGGGAGATGGTCTTCGGCCCATCTGCTCCCCTGCGGATGGAAGAGATCTTCAAAGGCAATAAGGAGAGATTACGCAAGTTCCGTGATCGTACTAGCAGTGCGAATTGGAACGGTCCGGACGGCTTGACACAGGATGAGATTAAGTGGGACATGGCTGAAAGAGAAAAATTGAAGAACAACGGCGGCTGGGTCTTCAGCCCTCATTGAAACCACATCAGTCTGCTTTCATAGGGACGAGTTATTTACATATTTTCATTTCGGGATAATGATATCAACACGTGGTTGGATGAGAATCCAGCGGCATATTTTCAGTGTTGATTTGATACTTGGAGTATCAGACACTCCATTTTGATTGTTTTGTTATATTGCTAATACATGGCGAGGGAGCTTTGACTCTACTTTTCTATCTATACTTGTTTTGTACTTTTTTGAATGTGTGGAGTTTAGATTTTGATTGCATACCTATGTGGTTTTTACTACATATTAGCCTGTTGCGGAGTTTGTGGTTTAATGGCATGGCAAATCAATATGGCTTTTTGTGTTCGTGGAATTGTGGTTACAGATTATTACATTAGGGAGGTTTGGCATATGCATCTTGAACCTATAAAAGTCCCAATTCCTACTGGTATCAAATCAAAGAAAGACCCCAAAGGACGTTGTCGGTCTCTAGTAATATCCGGTAAACCTAGTAAACCAACATTCGGTTGCACTCGTACATTGTCCCATAGTTATAGCCCAGACCAATCAATCTAGAAGTAATCCAAAGAAATAAACCCAATAACAAGAATGAAGACAAAAAAAGAAGAAAGCTTTTTATATGTTACAGGATTCTCAGTCATCTTCCTCAGGCTCTACATCGCCTATTTCGACATCTCTATCTTCCATCATAGCATCAGCATTGGGGTTATTTGTATCATACGTGTCTCGGCGTTTTCTGTCAGGGGTATGGCTGATCGTCCTCCACCCTAAGGCTGAAGTAGGATCTTTGACATATTCAGACATTGGGAACTAGACATTGTATATGTTAGCGCTGCCTTTGTGTTTAACTTAAGAGTCAGAGATGGATATGGACTCATCGTACGTAGTGGTCGTTCTTCTTCATTGTAACAACCCATGGCACGTTATCGAATGTGACAGCGCGCAAACGGAAGTATGTATTGTTCGGGATCATGTTGACTTGCTGAATAAATGAGTCCAGATCCGGTGTCTTTACACCATTGACAGCTGTGATGAAGTTGGTCGGTGACAAGCCGTATTGATAGGCAGGTGATCCGCGACTCTAAGGACAGGTACAGACATTAGTTTGATATGTAAACGTACAGAAAGCTAGGACAAGAAGTCATACCCTTGCGCTGACATATACGTCGGAGTGCAGTTTAGATATTTGCTGTCTGACGGCGTGGTGGGGTTTCTGCAAGACTGCTCCGCAGAAGATAAGGGCTCTGTCGGTCTCAAGGTCCTCTGTGGGGACGGTTTTGATTTGTATCTTCATCTCTTCGCCGTTACGCACGATGAGAGCGTCTAGCGACTCTTGATCGTACATAGCGTCAAAGTCCGAGACGCGAGTGACAAGTTTGTCATTCAGGGTAAGAATAATATCTCCTTCCTCGAGTGGCCTCGTATCCGTCGACGAAGGAGAAGCACAGTCTACTTTTCGTACCATGAATAGCTCATGACGCGCTGGGTTAGCGATGGCAACCTTGCGAATCCATTCTTCAGATACGCCCATGACGCGAGCCTGGCTCATCTGGATAACGTAGGTCTCCATGTCGAGGATTCGAAGTTTGGGGATGGCGCCGCTTTGGATCTGAGAAAGGACTGGGAGGAGAGATGGTGTAGCTAGACCAAGATGATACTCAACATCTTTGTGAGAGCTTTCGGTTCGTTCACCCAGGTAGTTGAGCCAGAGAGCCTCGACGACACCATCTTCTCCTAACAGAACACCGCTGGTGCACTGGGTGCTGAGGCCTGTATCGACAGTGATAGCATCCAGGTTGATAGCACGGTATCGTGGAGCAGCGGCATTGGGCGGGATTGCAACAGTGGTTATATCCGTGACAGTCGTGGCCGTTACAGCAATACGGAAGTTCTGATTGAAGCCAACGAAGAGGGTTCCAGCACCCTGCTGCATGTATTCTGTGCTCAATTTGGCGGATTTGACGGGAGCCTGAACCAGGCTGGGGTCATACTGGATGACCGTATAGTTCTGAAGCGGGTGCATGAAGACAACCTTGCCTCTAACTATGATGGAATCAGCGACTGTGATGTTAATGTCACAGAGATCAAATGGAATGATGGCTCGAGAAATGATGACAAGCCCCTTTTCAGCGTCGATGACCAGACCGAAACCATGAGTCCGGGCTTGTGGGAACCCGTCGAGCCTGACAGGCATGGTACAAGATACGCGGACAAAGCTGCGAACAATATCGTTGGCAGCAGCGTGCTTGACACCATTGAGATGGATAAAGTCTGCACGTCTGGGAACAGGAGGTTCTGCAGGCAAAGGGTCAGCTAAGTCAGTGAAATCCCAGAGACCAGTAGCATCGTTTCTTTCGGCAAGCCTCATCTGAGGGTGCCAATGGCGATCTATATGCACGACGCTGGTCCCTCTGGTGTGAAGATCACGGATATGTTTGTATGATAGGACCACTCTCGCACGATCTAACAAAGTCAGTATAAAAAAAATAAAAAATAAAAAATACATCAAAATATCATACCCGGTATGGTCTTCATAACTTGGATGAATTCATCCAAGTTCTTGGTCGGCCTCTTGTCAATGGCATCAATAATCCAGCCGGAAAAGGCGTTTTCCAGCTTAAACGAACCGGCGGCTTCACAGACGTAGACTCCACGGCAAGGAATGGAATACAGTCTTGCCTGCTGGTACGATAGGTCGTGGAAGATGGCACCAGCAACGCTGACATACCGTGAAGGAGTAATGCCATGAAGGTCCTGTACCTGACACTTGACCTCGAGATCCTCGCCGCCCCTTTGTACCAACAAAGTGACGTCCTGTCCTATAGAAGAGTCCAGGATGGCATCTAGCTTGACGAATTGGGTGAGGAGATCTCCATTGACCTTGACCAGGACGTCACCTTCCTGCAGTTTACCATCTCCGGGGCCTTCTGGGAGCACGATCTCAGCAACAAGCATGCCGGTCTCCTTGGGCGCAGCTGACCGTACAGCAGCCTCCCATTCCGGAGACAGGCCGAGTCTTCGACACTCATCAAACGGCTTGATGATCCATTGGGTCTGTATGGTACCGCGGGTCACTGGCTGGCCGTTTTGGATGCACTGCAACGCGCGAAGGGGCCGGTCAAGAGGCAGGAAATAATCCGTGGCAGCGCCGTCTGCACGTCCACCGGCCTGTAAAGCAATCGCGTAGCCATCAATATTGACGACCGGACTGCCTGAGCTCCCACCACTGGCTGCAGCAGCAGCCTGGATGTAGTTTGTGTTGAAATCACTGTACCCTTCACCATACTCCGGAGCGTTTCGATCCAGCCGACTGATGACGCCGGACAGAATGCTCAGCTTCTCTCCTGCGTCGTTTCCTACCACTCTGATCTCTACGCCTACTTTGGCTGAGTCAGGCCGTAGCTTCAGCTCGGTCAGGGGCATATATTTGATTGCGGCAGGGTCGAATTTCAGGATACCAAAGTCGTGGACGGGGTCTCGATATATTGGCTTCACATCACACTGCAAACAAACAAATTTAGCATTCTTTCCAGTAATAATGACCAAAAAAATAAAAATAAAGGGCAAAAGACCCTACCTCTTCATGGTTATCGAAGATGCAGTATCCCCAAAAGGGCCCGGCGCAGACCACATGCCTGTTGGTCATGATATAGCCGTTCTTCGCATCGACCACGAACCCCGTTGCCTGGCTGGCCATGGACAGGTCCGTATCAAACGAAGCCGTCTGGCAGAAGTGAATCGAGACCACGCACCGCACGACCTTCTCGATGGTCTCCTGCCACTCTGCCGAGTCTGTCTGCACCTGGCTGACGGGCAGCATGGCTCTCGCCGCGGCCTCGGGGTCTGTCTCTGCCTCGTCGTAGGCGTACATCGTCACATCTCCGGACGGCTGGCGGTCCTCGGAGGGCGTATGGCTCGCGGCAGCAGCAGCAGCGGTATCTGGCCTGAAGTGTTTGGCAGAGGGCAGGGACATGGCGCTGCCCGAGTGCTTTCGTTTGGCGCTGCCGTTCATCTCCATGGCGGCGGTCGTTGACGGCGACGGCGTAGATTCAAAACAAGGCCGTCTTCTTCGTCCTTGCGTCCCCTTTCCGTGTCTCCTTTTCGTTTGTAACGATCTCCTTCTTCAGCTGGTTATCGTTCAACGGCGGTGGTTTGGTCGGCGGTTCGTGGTAGTTATCTAACTATAGTCTTTTTTTTTTTTTTTA